TTTTTTATTCATTTGTCTGTTTATTTTTATTTGTTTTTTAAATCAGTTAATCTATTTATTTTTGCATTTACTTATTTACCAATAATTTATTTTTTTATGTATCAAATTGCATGTTGTCAATTCATTCATTCATTTATTTGTTTACCTATAGTCAATGTATTCACTATTCATTCATTCAATTTCATTTACTTATACATTTCTGTATTTATCTATTCATTCATTTATTCATTTATTTATTTACTCATTCATTTACTTATACATCCCTTCATTTATCTATCCGTAGTGTTGTGATTGTCTTGTTCCTCTCTTATTTCATCGATTCCAACGTTACATTCATGACCAAGATGAGATAGGTCATACGTCATAATGGAACTACTAAAGTATACAAAAAGAAGTTGAACTCGCTTAAAAATAGCTAGTGAAAGTCACACAAATGTCCTTGCGTACCAAGTTTGTTTTGACACTATCACGTTATATTTGCCTGTTGATAGCGCTACTCAATACTAGCTAAAATATATTTCAATCCAAGATTGACCCTGGTTTCACTTCCCATACGCCAAGCGTTGCTATCACATACAAATTAAATTCTAATGCTGAAGATGTAAAAAACGTTTAAAATTATATATTTCGTACCTTTTAAGACCCTCGTTCCCGTTAACAACGAGGTCGAGAGGCAAGGAATTGGTGAAAAAATATTTAGATGGGGTTTATGTAGAGAGGGAAGGATGGAAGGGAAACAGGGGAGGGGAAATGAGAGGAGAGTTAGAGGAGAAAATGAAAAAGAAGGAGGACAAGGGAAACGCACAGGGTGTGTGGGGAGGGATGAGGATAAAAGAGAGAAGGGGCGAGGGGAGAGAGGCAGACAGAGGTAGAGAAAGACAGGCTCAAGAGAGAGAAAGGGACGGGAAGATGAGGAAGCAATTCAGAGACAAATAAATATAGAGATGGATAATAACCACCGCTCATGAATAACTATTACGTATTAAAATCCCAATGATGGCTTGATCACACTGTCATCAGACTCCAAAATGTTATCACGTAATATCATGAAGTTCCTCGAAATTGAAAAGTCTTCAGGCAATACCATGAACTGTCACAGGAACACCTTCGTATCATTCATATATATCAATATAAATATGCTCATGTTTAAACAAATTTATAACAGTCGCAACTACAGACATTCTCAGCTAAAATCATTCCCAGCCAAAGTCATTCGCAGACCTAACCAATATGGTACCTATATACGTCCGCACCACAGCCAGGAGCAGATCGCCAGGCCTCTAAGACCCCTGTGAGGCCCCTGTATACATTCGCCATTGAGACTGGCTGGCAGCCATGCAAGAGATGGTCGTTTCCAATTGTTTAAGATCGCAGAGAACTTCAAGGAAAAACAGATCATCGATAGTTTCAGTGACACTTTTAGAGATTTATTTATTTGTAAGTGTTAGAAAAAAATTGTTTGCATAGTAACTTTGAGCTATTGGACATGAATTCAAGCATCTGGAATTGTGCCAGATACAACCAGTACCTCTACATACCTGGAGGCCACCCACATGCCCTATCCTAAAGCGGTGCCAATTGCGGTTGCACACACAGACATATCACTTATTTGATGCCAACCGTATTTGGATGATGGTTTGTTTTCCTTTTGTAAAAAAGATAGATTTATATATTTTGCTTGTTTTACTCCCTTGCAAGAATTATGCAATTTGCATGTTTATCTTGCTCAGATGATGCCAAATTTGTGTGCTTCTCTTTTTTTGATGGCACGATGCCAGATATGTATACGCCTTTTACGCGTATATAAGATCTCTTGGCGTAACTTGTTCCAGCACGTCTGTCGGAGAAACTGAACACCACAATTTGCATTTTTTCCTGGTAAATTACAATAAATTTTAATGCCAGTAGGAGATCACATTTTGACTGCCAAGGGATATCAATATCTTACACATCTTACACAGTTACATATACATGTATATAAATGTTATATGGATGCTAGTATTTTAGTTATTTACGATGAAAATATATAGTTGTTCTTAACTAATGCGTGTAAAAAAAGATGCAACTGAGACCGTATAATGGTGGCAATTAGATACGACACAGCTTATAAGAGATATTTTATGTTTAAAACAGCGGGATATAGAAGGCAAAGCCCGAGACGATGGCAGTGACTATAACTAAAAAGATTATGACTGGATACCAATATTGACTCTGGCAGGGGACACCTTGGCGAGCAATACCCAGTTTGTAAAGCTTGGCAGTTCTTTCTTTCGGGGAAACTGTTGAACCAGCCGCCATGTAGTGAAAAATAAAGCGCAGAAGGAAGAAAAAAAAATATAAACTTTTAAGTATGTCCCATGCGACCGACCATGTCTTGGCTTGATGCCGGTTAGAGGTCGCTGGGATTTGCGTGTTTTTGTAGTGTCATTGCCCTTGCTGCGGTCTCGATAACCTTCAGCTTTTTCAGCTTCTTGCTCGATTACTGTCCATCTGCGAGTCC